TGATCATCTAGATCCCTCCACCTTATTCACACTCTCTACAACTCTCTAAACCCTTCCACAACGTTCCACGAAGTTTTAGAGAATTCCCGAGAAAACCAGACTATGGTACTTAAAGAAAAGAGATTTGAATTTTGATAAAGTGTTTAAAGAGAAACCTCAAGGATTCAACCTACAATTTCTTAGAAATCCATTAGAGAAGTTAGACCGGAAGAGTAGAGGAAAATGAGTTTTAAAACACGAAATTCAAGTAAGAAAGACAAAATATACTAATTTAATTTCTTAGCACTCAATAATTCTTAACGTCCATAATCTATTTGGTTACCGAAAAAAGCGATGATGTATTTTGAAATAAAAACTCTTCTGCTCGTTTTCCAAAATACCTCTCATTTGTTTTTAAATACCTCTCATTTTGATGGTCATGGTCTCATAACACGTTTACTAACTCTAAGGTAGTTTTGTAATGGTGTTTCAATCAATTTGTTGATGTTATGGTTAAATCTATATTCGTGATGGTCTGTTGTTGCTTGGCAACTAGCTTACAAGCTCCAAATGATCTTCAAATATATTATAAAGTATGATATATACGTCTTGTCTGTATTCTTACATCATGTATTCAGATTATATCTGTCTACCTAGTGTATATTAATTTTTTTTAAAAACATCATCCAGACATACAATGACGCATATAGTTTCATTATAAGTTTATAACAACTGTCCAGCAGATTCTTTAAATCCTTGTGTAGTAGTAACTAACTGGGTCGTTAAGAAGAAGATAATTTATGATTTGAGCTAGTTCGCTTATCTTATAAATATTTTTTCTTGTCAACAATAATTTATATAACTTTTTATTTTTTCAAAAAAAAAAACAATATTATATAATACAAATGTTAATGTCCATGATTTCAATGGTTAAGTTTTGCATTTTTAGCAAAAAATTGTTTTGCATTTAAAAAAAAAATTTCTATAAGTTTCGACTTTCGAGTTTGTGGAGAGATTTCAAAGTCTTGAATCCGGAGAACTTAGCATTAAAATAAGATGATATTGCGACGTAGAAAAACCTAAACAAGCAAACTACAAGTTGCTTAAGTGACAAAATTAGTAAATGGACTTATAATAATCCTAAATAAAGAGGATACTTAAACGTCTTTATTACGTATCCTAAATAAAGAGGATACTTAAACGTCTAAAAAAAAAAAACTTAAACGTACGATAAGTCGATAATAACAAGATTAATATGCGTAGCGACGAAGACGTTGACTTCAAACTAAATGACAGTAAACTTCTTCGATCTTACCCACTGACTCCTCCTTTCCTTCATCATATCTAATATCTTAATAATACTATATAATTTTACTTGTCAATATTGTTAAGTTTTGTTTTTTGAGAAAGTCAATATTGTAAAGTTTTCAACGTATTTATACCATTTTGATTGCTAATAATTAGTGTATCAAACGATTTATGACCAGTTAATTTCTCCGTTTTTATGAAAATATTCTAGTTGATATTTTTTTTTCGAAAATTCAAACACTTCTGGTGTATCTTTTGTTTTCTAGACAAAAATTGCAATTTCAATTGCTCATAGCAAAATATGTTTTAACTTTGATTTTTGTTTGATTAAAACATTTAAAATTTATTTCTATATATCATAAACAGAAGCTTTTATACCAAAATTCCACACTAATCTATCAAACATGTAAAAGAAAACAGACATCTACAATAGTTAATTATAATTAAAATCACATTAAAAGACTCAAATAAAATGTATAATTAAATTTTCAACGTCAAACTTGTAACCGACAGAACAACACCATATATATTACCTACATTTGAGTTATAACATGAATGAATGTAACTCTCATTAACTAAATACAATTTGAGTTTTTTCAATGCGGTTTCAATCACTAAAAAAACGAATATCTATATGTATACTTCATACCAATTACTATTACAATATTAATAAATATATTAATTGAAATTTCACAAGTCACACCATGCTTGCTTTGACAAACTTTCTTATCCTTATTCACATGCATCTCCTCCCTCTCCCTCCTCTCTCTAACCGTTGACTTTTAAGAACCCCAAGATGCTTCAATTTCCATGTCTTATATCAAACGACTAACCAAACCTCTCCATAATTTCTCTTCTTCTTCCTCTAAAACCCATTAAACAAAAACCATCAAACCTCAACCACCATGAACACCTTCCAACCGCCGCCTTCGCCCCCAACTATGCCGGACTACAACGGTCTCCTCGGCACCGACGACATCGGAGGATTCCGATATGGAATCGGAGTTTCCATCGGAGTACTCCTCCTCATCACCACAATCACCCTCACCTCTTACTATTGCACACGTAACCAGCTCTCTTCTTCACAAACCAATCATGATCCTACACGTGTTCATCACCACCACCACCACGTCATCATCGACGTCGTACCTGGTCTTGACGAAGACACAATCCAAAGCTACCCTAAGATCCGTTACTCGGAAGCCAGAGACTCATCAACGGCTTCCACGTGTTGTCCCATTTGCTTAGGAGACTACAAAGGGAATCATCTCCTACGGCACCTCCCAGATTGCAACCATCTTTTTCACCTCAAATGTATTGACACGTGGCTTAGGCTTAATCCTACGTGTCCGGTCTGCCGGACTTCGCCGCTTCCGACTCCCCTCTCCACTCCCCTCGCCGAGGTTGTTCCCTTAGCCTCCACCGTCGCCTCCACCAGGATGTCCTAGTCATTTGTTTTTCTTGAACCGAAATTCAGACTAATCTCGGAGACATTTTTCTTTTCAATTTTTCTTTAATTACTAGTAAATTTTTCATTTTTGGTCTCTAATTGATTATTGTACATATATTCTAGGAAGCCAAAGATCTATATACAAGGAAGGAAATTAATGGTAATTTTTCACAATTTTGTTTAATAAATTGCTTTGATTTTTGTTTATGCCAATGTAAATTGTTTTCTACGTTCGTTATAAAAGTAAGAATAATTAAAGCCGTTTTGAATATATAGTGGAGAGGGTCTAAAAATTAAATTGCTTTGATTTTTGTTTATGTCAATGTAGATTGTTTTCTACGTTCGTTATAAAAGAATGAATAATTAAAGTCGTTTTGAATATATAGTACTCGAGAGGGACTTGAAACTGACAACCTTTCTCAACCATGATGTATTAAGAAGTAGTTTTGTAGCAATCTCTTAATTTATTTATTTTGATAAAATTTTGTGGCAATCTCTTTTGTCCGTATATGACCATATAACGCAAATTCACACATAAGATCAAACAAAAGCAGTATTTTATAACAGTGCCTTTGTCTTATTTTGGTGATGAACCATCAGCTAGTATATATATGAAATGTCGAAAAACTTTTCTAGAACACTAGACAATACTAAAATGAAATTGTCATCAGAGTCGATTTTCTAACGTCATGTGCACAGTACACAAATGCGGGATCATTCACTAATGCAACAAGCATATAACTTAAATTTAACAAAAATGATTGCTTAACCAAAAAACGATATAGAACGTTGTTCAAGAGAAATAAAAAATCACTCGAAAACGATTTTTATCTCAAATTCCAACTGGCTGAAATTAGGTAAGCGAGATGATAAAAATGAGTTGACCACCAAACTGGCCTTTTCATATTTTAAGTAACTGACAAATTAATAATAGGTATCATACCAAACCTATTTACAAATCTAAATTTTTTTATTTTCTCATTTGAACAGTGTATTTACTTAAGAACATAATTAGAATTCAAAAACACTTTGGAAGTTTGATTGACTGACTCTTTATTCAAGGAACTAAGAATACGTACATCCGTCTTTCTGAGATTGAGATTACTGGTATGAGTTGCAGAAATATAATTGCGTTTACGCACTGGAATGGTGATATTGGTTACTTATGGTTTCATTTTTTCCTCATGTGAACTGTGAGTAATCATCTACCACAGAAACATTATGGTGCAACTGTTTCATTATCAAATATTTAATAGTAATAAACATTGTGCAATTTCTTTCACGTGAGTACATAAATTGGACCTAAATGAAATGTTTTTAAAACGAGTTGCACAACCTATCACAACAAAAAGTGTAATCTTATTTTAACATTTTCTGTATTTTAGGAGATTACGTCAAAGATCGAAACCAACATTTCTCCCTATATATATCCAGTAGCACTAAACAAACAAAATTCACACTCACATGGACAAACGAAAACCCATGTTCATCATATGAAACTCTTTTACAACTCAATTCACATATATACAATCAACTTGTAGAATCTTACCGCCAAGTCATCCACTAATTTTTTTGTTTTTATCATGATTAAAAAGTGTTTATCTATTTTTTTCCAGATTTTATTAATATTAAGGGTAAATTCGTCATTTACATCATAGCTAAACCTTTTAATTGTGTAAGAGTGTTTCTACTCTTCTATATTTTTTTTGTGTGTGTGAATTTGAATTTTGCATTAACTAAACTAAAAAAAGGAACATTACAAAGAAGAATATTGAGCCTTTTTGGAATATGAAATGAAGAGTTTTTGATTAATAGCTTTGAATAGTAAATGCTAACTGAAATGTATGATCCAAATGCTCATCATTCCAAGAAAAGTTTTTAATGAGTTTGTCTACCAATATGATATTCTGAACTATTTTGTCAATCAGATATGTCGGAAAAAGAATTGTAGGTGATACCGAATTATGCAACTTGTTGTTTGTTTCGCTCATTCCAAATGAAATAGCATTGACATATAAATTAGTCCTCCCGAAAAGTATTTGCAAAAGCATAACACACCTCAATTTTTTTCTAGATTAATAATTGTTGAATTTAAATTTCTGCAACTACTCAATATGTTGAAGTTCTATTATACAAGTATCAATCGACGAAATGTACAAAAAAATCACATTGGATTTCTATTGGATATGAGGTTGTACGGATTGGATTGGTTCTAGTTTGATCCAAAGATGGTGTGCGTTTGATTCCACTTTGATGTTGTCTAATTTGATTTGATATTGTCTAATTTGAGACTTGGTACTGGTGGGAATTTGATTCCACGATGATGATCTAACTTGGTGGTGTTAGTTGTCGTGTATGATAACTTTGTATCCCTTTGTATATAGATTAAGACTGTAAATGATTCAAAGGTAAACGTGTTTGTGTTTGTAGTAAATGGAGGTTGGTTTGGCCATTGGATTTTTATTGGATATGAGGTCGTAGAACATTACAAAAAGAGGAACTACAAAGAAGAATATTGAGCTTTTTGCAATATGAAATGAAGAGCTTTTGATTAATAGCTTTGAATAGTAAGGGCTAACTGAAATATATGATCCAAATGCTCAATAGATCTTTCCAAGAAAAAGTTTTTAATGAGTTTGTCTACCAATATAAAATTTCGAACTATTTTGTCAATCAGATATTTCGGAAAAAGAATTGTAGGTGATATCGATGTCGAATTATGCAACTTGTTGTTTGTTTCACTCATTCCAAATGAAATAGCATTGGTATATCAATTAGTCCTCCCGAAAAGTATGGACAAAATCATAACACACCTCAATTTTTTTCTAGATTAATAATTGTTGAATTTTAATTTTTGCAACTATTCAATATGTTGAAGTTCTATTATACAAGTATCAATTGACGAAATATACAAAAAATCACATTGGATTTCTATTGAATATGAGGTGGTAGGGAGATAATTAGTAAAGTAATACATTAGTGATTGTGTATTTCTATTGGATTTCTATTGGATATGAGGTCGTAGGGAGATAATCGTGATTGTGTATGCCTTGGTATATGAGTTGGTCTAATCTAATTTGGTGTATGATTGTGTATGCCGTGGTATATGACTTGGTATAATCTAATTTGATGTTCTGTTTCATGTTTATAGGAAATGGAGGACGGTTTGGTAGAGCTTTCTATATACCCAGACGAGCAATGCAGTTTGTGGTACTGTACGAGAAGAAGAGATGAAGACAATATCGGTTATTGTACTGAGGCTCACTTTGCTTTATCGGATCTCCATGAGAACTTTGCTATTCCTGCTCATATGTCAAACTTGTTTACACACTACCATGTAACTGCATTGCTCGTCTGCTTCTCAAAGTCCAGGCGTTCCAAACTTGGGCTGTCTACTGCCGATCGAGAAGTTTCGCCACACGAGGAGGGAATATCGTGAGGAGGAGATTTAATCCCCGCCATCAAACGCCAATGGGAGCCAGGTGGTGGCTATATCGCTACACCATTTTGGACAATGGACCACCAACATTATACTGTCTAGTGTACCGCCCCTCACTACTTCCTCACCCGTTTCCCTAGCCAAACAGGTTATATTAGATCAACTTCCTCTATTTCATTAATTGCATTACTATATTCATATCAGGAGTATACATGAATCATTGTGGTAAGGCATTACTTGAGAAGACCTTCTACAGAAAGAAGATAAAGAAGTCAAGAGAAGAAGAGACTCACGTGGCAGAATAAGTGATTGAAGTTGTTATATTGAGTCAATGTAGTAGCTTGAGTTTGTTAGAGTCTTATATTGATTAATTGGTGGTTGCTAAAGGGCCTATGAGAGTATAAATAGGACCCTCTTATGCATTTAGAGTCTTTCATCTGGATCTTGAGAGATTGTTCAAGGACAGAGAATCGGGAGTGATTGAGATTTGAGAAGATCTCAATCATTTGGCTTGTAATTCCTCTTTCATTCAATAAAATTGTTCTGGTTCTGGTTTATTATGAAAAATTAGTCTTAAACAAAAGGTAAACTAAACCATGTCTCTGTATCTATAAAAATCAGGAAGCTTTATCGTTCTTCTTCTCCTTTCGATAAAAAAATCAATCAATGTCTAAACCGTACGGCCTGTTGCTGCTCCTGAACACCGCCTGTAGCATTTGAAGCTACACAGAGAAAACTTAGTCTTTGAATCACGATACTTGTAAGGATTGGTGCATGACGCAATTTCCCTGCAGAGGAGGAAACCGCAGATTTGTGAACATAAATACTTGACAATGTTATGATACGGTTTTGAAATCGCTTTATGAAACTTTATAAATAGAACGAGAGACCAATTCCCAATACATTTGAAGCATTCCCTATCTATAATGCTCACTAACAAGCTGTTTTTTCATGTCTAGTTGTTCACATCAATCAGATCCAATCAGCTATACGAATAAGGGAGATCGACTTATAGATTGGTCATGATTCAAGTCAATCCAAATAGAGTTTGTGAGAAGAAAAGAGAAGAAGAGACTTGATGGTTTGGGATCGAACAGGATAGGGACTTGGTCAATGGGAAATGAAACAGTGGTTTCATGAGGACCTGTTATTGTTCTAATGCAGCTTGCCGGATGCCTTTCGTCATGTGCAGCTTTTATCCTGCGATCAATTCAACGCATACGACAATGATTTTTTAACATCTCGAACAAAATAACATTTTCGCGATAAGGTGGTGGTTTATCGTGTGCATATCCCAATACCTGACCCACAAATTCATCTAGTCGTTTTAAATTTTTGTCTTCAGGCTTCTTCCTGCTCGAATCTTGACCTAAAATCTTTTCGATGGCCTCTGCCTTTAAAAACAAGACCAAGACCATCCTCACATGATTATCAAAATCTTAAAAGCACAGATAGAAAGAGAAAAATACCAACCTCAGACTCCCTTGCAGCCTTCTCAATCCGAGCTTTTCGCCTTTGAGCAGCTTCTGCCTTCTTCAGTTGCTGCTCCATTTCTGAAAGAACCTCCTTTTTCTCTGTTTGTCAACAGAATTTAACACAATACATTAGGAACCTTTATTGCAAAAGATATATATATATATTTGTGAAACAAACAAGTAAAAGACAAACAAAACCCTACTTCTCATCGTAGGAGGTAATCCATTTAGAATTTCAATCGCGGTTGATCTGCTAGATGCAGAAGCAAGGGCTCGTTGGCAACTAGTCAAGGTTGATTCCCTCGTAGCCTCATTACCAATCTCTTTTTTTCATCAGGCACAGATTCAAGTTCCTCCGCATAATCCATGTCTTCGGACGCTTTCTCAGACGAGAATCATTGTTTCGTTTTTGGGACTCTACTATAGCCAGCTAAGACTAAAATCTTTCCTTCAAGGATTTGCATCAAATGTGGTATATCATCATTCAAGATCTTACTGAAACAATCTGAAGTTGCTAAAATATTCAATCCCTCGGGTCGAGGACGACGACAAGTCAAGCTACGTTTCTTCTTCACGACAGTATTCTACATTCCATTATCTTCCATTTCCTCTCTTAACGGATTACTTAACTTCAAGAGTAACTTACACAGATAATTCTATATCTTTGGAATAGAATCAGATAGATAAAAAACATGAATTAGAACTAATTTGCATATGTTTCGACATTCCATCAATTTGCACATCAGATGCTTTCAACTCTGTTAGCATATTTCTATCAAAATTGAAAATTTGAAGGTTCCCATTATTTTATAGTAAACTGGTCTGGTACTCCAATGAAGGATGGATTAACGATCATTTAAAATATAGTGATCCGATCCAACCAAAACATTTAACCGATTCAATCCAATCCGGTCTACTAAAAACACAAAATGCTGAAACATAAAAGCAATATGTTTTAGTTTCATAAAAGCAATGTGTTTAAATACAATCCTTCTTATGGATCTTCAAGTCTCGCACACAATATATAGACCGACTTCTTATATATGTAGCTAAGGATCATTTAGACTTAAGTAACTAGAAATTTTTAGTAAACACGGTCAACCTTTTCATTAGTTCTAATACTTATAATAATGATGCTTAGATTCCCATAATCTCTTTAACAAAAGTTAAACAAAATAATACAATGGCTTTTTTTTCATTTTTCTTATGTTTTAAGTAAATTATAAAACAAATAGCCATAATTATGTTCAATGGAAAAAGTTAAAACATAGTATATATTTAAAAACGGTTATTTTGAAAAGACGTTATGTTTAAAAATAACCATAAAGTTGAAAAGACGCAATTTTTGAAAAAACAGTTATATTGAAAAGACACAACTCTTCACAAGCGGTTATAACAAAGAACACAACTCTTGACAAAGCGGTTTTAACGAAACATGTAACTCTTGAAAATAACTATAAAGCGGTTTTTGTTAAAATGAAAAGACACAACTCTTGACAAACAGTTATAACTAAAAGATGCAACTATTGAAAATAATCATAAAGCGGTTTTTATTGAGAAGACGCAATCTTTCAAAATAACTATAATGCGGTTCTAGTAAAAACCTATAAATAGAAAATAGTTTTTCGAGAAGACACAATAAAAAAATATTCATTTGTTTGGGTTTGCTATTATATATAGATATCTATTTTCGTTTGAAAACTTTTTTTTTTTTTTGTCATTTGATTTATATATATAGTTAAAATGAAATGTATTGTGACCAAAAAGAACAATCCATATTTCACCAGCCTTTTGTATACCAAAATTTGACTACCCTTAATATTTACCAACAGAACCCAAGCTCACCAAAAACCAACCCTTATAAGCCTACTACCCACCATC